ACACACACACACACACACACACACAAATATATGATTCTTACACAAAAGAAAAATGCACCCCCTCTAAGAGCTCCATTTATTGCCTATGGCGGTGCATGAAGCTGTTAGTTGCAAGCAGCACACATGTGGAGGGTGGCAAACGGAAAAAAACGTTGCGTTAATGTTGTTGGGAAATGTTACTTCTTCAGAATTGCAACAAGAGCAACACACAGCGTGACATGGCAACACAGAGGATGTCCAACCTTTCACTGTGGCTTGCATTAGAGAAGAAGCCGGAATAGCCCGTAAGGTTTTCCACACTGGTTAAAAAAGATTTGAGGAAGGAATGAGAGATCAGAGGAATTACCGGCAAGTTCACACCGTTTCGTGTTGATTAGTGTGATTACTGGTTTGATCATGCGAGTTATAATCATAATAAATAAGTTCTAAGAATCACAAGTCCGCCATCAATAGATTTAATCATCAATTTAATCAATTAAAAAATTAATTGAGATTGAGAAAAGTGCGACATTACTTTTCTTAATAAGACGCGTTTTTGATCTGGTTCCTTATCACCTTTCTGACCTCAATCCTCCCTCACCTTTTCTCAATGGCATCGATGTTCCTGAGGAGCAATAAAACCTGCCGGGAGTCACTCTCCTCCCTGTCCGAGAAGAGCAGGTGGTGGCCGGTGATGCACAGGGTTCCTCTGCTCGGGGGTTGCAGCGGCTGTCGGAGCACAACATCCTCCACATTGGCCGTCTTGATGTGCTCAGCAAACTCCATCAGCTCCCCTTCAAACACCCAAAGTCCTTCTGCAGAACTTTGTTTCTGTTCTTTCTAAACAGAAGTGGCCGAGCAGCACCTCAATCACGACCTCGCCTCTCTTGTAAGAAAACGAAAGCGGGCTTCCTCCTCTGCACGCACAGCTGGTTGGGCAGCGTTGCAGCCGCGCTCTGTTTGATTGGCGATAAGAAGTCTATAAATAGAAGAAGCTTCATATTTTCCTGAACATTGTCGTCCTCTTATGTGGCTACACCTTTGCACACACAGCTGGCTAAGCTTAACTGCCGTGGGAGTGGAAAATGTGCTGCTTTGGGCGACAAAAGGCGGAAGTCTACGTTTCCTGAGACAGTGAGTGAGAAGTGACACTTATCGCTGGTAAAACTTGTGCGCACTGCAGAAGGGGTGGGGGGGAAGCCACTGTGAGGTGCCTGTAGTATATTAGGTTGTCACTAGATGGCGCCATACTCAAGCACAAAAATCGTCAATCACAACTCATCTGCCAAGTTGGCTTTTTCTGTGCGTAACTATTGAAATCTGTCAGCTACAAAATATTGACACAGTATCACTTTGCTGGTATTACGATGCATTACAGTGTGAACAAGTGTAGCTGGTACTGAACCTACAGCTTTCAGCTTTGACTAGTTTCATTATATTTTGCAATTTGAGATGTTTTGCATTAAATAAAGTCACGTGTAAAATATATAAATAAGTATCCTTATTGTAAAGAGTAAAC